CACACCGCCTACCAGGGATGTGCCCGCAACCAATGTACATACCCCTGACCGGAATCTAACCTGGGACCTTTCAGTCTGCAGACCGAAGCTCTACCACTGTGCCAAACTGGTTTTGGCTTTCCCAGTCTTGATTAGGGCAGGGTCAGCCTTGGCCTGCTGGCTGCCAGAGAGGAGGAGGGGTAAGGGAGGGGCTTAGGGAGGTTTGACAGTCTCAGGGAGGGACCAGGGAAGGTTGGCTGACCATGGGAGGTTGGCTATGGGTGCACACTGCCCACCAGGGGCAGCTCCTGCATTGAATGTCTGTCCCCTGCTGGTCACTGCATGTCATAGTGACTGGTTGACCGGTCATTCTGGTTGTTCAGTAGATTTGTCATTTAATAGATTTGTGATCTGTAAGTGTGTGGAAGTTGTTAACTATTTCCACCATTAACAGCTTTACCTTTATATCCCTCTGCACATCTGAAGATACAAGTCATTCACATGACACCTCTGTAGAATGCCTGCTCACCCTATTAAAGACCCAATTGCAAGTTTCCAAATAGTTATATTTCCTAAATACCTTTTCAAAGACATTGTATACAAAATGAAATGTAGGTTTAATACTTTTGTTGTTTGTTATGATTATGGGTCTGTACTTCCTTCTTTATCTTGGCATTTGCCCTTCCTCATTCTGTACGTAGGATTGAATGCCAAGCATTGAATAATAAGATGTTATAGATTGACAATTTTACCTATCCTTTTGGAAAAGTTGACAAGAGACTATTATATTATATTAGAGGTCTGGTGCACAAAATTCCTGCTCCAGAGGCCCAGTCTGCACCCTGTCTAATCTGGGGGAGTCCCTCAGCCCAGTGCCCTCTTGCAGTCCGGGACCCCAGGATGTCTTCCTTCCAGCTTAGGCCCACTCCCAGAGGGCAGCTCCTGCATTGAGCATCTGCCCTCTGTGGTAAGTTCATAATTACCAGTCATTCCACTGTTCAGTTGATTAGCATAAAGGGTTTTATTATATAGGATAGGATATTGATTGTGAACTGTAAATGAAAAATAAAATTTAAAAAAGAACCAAATAAAATTTTAGATCTGAAAAAAAATTAATATATATATTTTAATTCTCACCTGAGGATGTTTTTAAAATTGATTTTTATAGAGAAAAACATCCATGTGACAGAGAAATACTTGTAGGCTGCCTCTGCACTTGCTGACCCACCAGGATCTAACTTAAACCTAATGGTGTGCCCTAACCTAGAATCCAACAGGAAATCCTTTGGTATACAGGTTGAGACTCCAACCAATTGAGCCACCTGGCCAGGACATAACTGGAAAAAAAAATTCTTTAAAAAATATATATTTTATTGATTTTTTTACAGAGAGGAAGAGAAAGGGATAGAGAGCTAGAAACATCGATGAGAGAGAAACATCAATAAGCTGCCTCCTGCATACCTCCCAATGGGATGTGCCCACAACCAAGGTACATGCCCTTGAACGAAATTGAACCTGAGACCTTTCAGTCTGCAGGCCACCGCTCTATCTACTGAGCCAAACCGGTTTTTGAAAGAAAAAAAAAATCTTAAGTGTACCTCAAGGCCCTGGTCAATGTGGACCAGTAGTTAGAGTGTTCTCCCCCACACCAAAGGGTCATGGGTTCGATTCCAGGTGAGGGCACATACATGAGTTGTGGGTTCCATCCCTGTCAGATTGCTTGAGCAACTGATACATGTTTCTCTTGCTTTTTCCCTCTCCCATTCTCTCTAGAATCAATGAAAAGAACATATCCTTAGAAGAGGACTTAAAAATAAAAATAAAAAAATGCTGGTTTGATTCAGTGGATAGTGCTTCTATGGAAGGACTGAAGGGTACTGGGTTGAATTCCAATCAAGGGCACGAGTATCTGGGTTGCAGGCTTAATCCAGGGCCCTGGTTGGAGATTCCACAAGAGGCAACTAATTGATTTCTCTAACATTAGTTTCTGTCTTTCTCCCTCCCTTCCACTCTCTGAAAAAAAAAATCAATCGAAAAATGTCCTCATGTAAGGATTAATCAAAACAAACAAACAAACAAACAAACAAACACCCATCCCCCGTATAATTATTGAAGGATTATATGAAGTGTTTTTTGAATGAACCAGAGGGATGGGACTTCACTTTCTGTTTTAGCAACCTTGCAAGCCAGAGGGTTTATTTTTTATTATACTTTTAATGATTATTTTAGAGAGAGGAAAGGAGCAAGGGAAACACCAGTGTGTTGTTCCACTTACTATGCTCTCTTTGGTTGCTTCTTGTCCGGGCCCTGACCAGGGATCCAGCCCACAACCTTGCTGTATCAGGAGGGGGTTCTAACCCAGTCAGCTCTGGGCTGCCTGTCAGGGCCCCTCAACAAACCCCTCTGGGTGCCCTGGCCCCGCTGCGGGCTGGAGAGCTCCTCTGCTCCTGTTTTGGGTTCCATTCTGTCAGGGCACCTACTTATATAGGTTTCGGGTTTGATCTCCGGTCTGGGCTGACTGCTGCTCAGGAAGTGGCCAAGGACCATTGAGGTCCATGTGCTCTAGTCATTCAGCGGAGAGATGGCGTTCCATTGCCGACACGGCCGACTCTGATCCCCGCTACCCCCGCTCCTCCATCGAGGGCGACTTCAACCATGGCAGCTGGTGGCCCCCGCCAGCTACACATCCGCATGGGTAAGTCAACCTTTCCACGGATCGCCGGCCAGCTGCTGCACAGTCACCCGGGAGACAGATTTCCAGGTTCCCAGGGAGAGCACCCTCTGCATGGGACTAGTGGGGTCCCAGAGGGAAATCACTTTGCTCCACCTCCCCTCAGGGCTCCAGAGCTGCAGTGCCTGTCCTGTGCAGGGCTCAGAGGGGAGAACCACCCCAGAGAGGCCTTCTAGCTGGGTGTGAGAAACGAAACTGGAGCCCTTCATCCTTGAACCCTGTTGTCTTCAGTGTAGAAAGTCTCAGCAGCCTTACTGGGGCATGCTGCATGTGCCGGCTGCTGAGATTTAGTTACGTTACAGCATCCCAGACAGTTTGCATATTCCTCTATTATTAGTATATATTATATTATATTATATTATATTATATTATATTATATTATATTATACTATTATATTATACTATTATATTATACTATTATATTATATTATACTATTATATTATTATTATATTATATTATATTATACTACAATATTATAATATATTACATTATAATATAATATAATATAATATAATATAATATAATATAATACTATACTAGAGGCCTGGTGCACGAAAGGGGGGGGTTGTCCCTCAGCTCAGCCTGTATCCTCTTCAATCTGGAATCCCTCGAGGTAGATCCGACTGCCCATTTAGACTCCATTTGTTGTGTGTCATCACAACAAATGCTTCACTGTTAATTCCTTTGGGTATATCTCTCATTTCTTCCAAAATTATTTATTTATTCTTATAAACATAGCTATATTATGAACAGTAGTAACCAGACTGGTGGCCTCCATATGTTATCTTTGATTGGCCTGAATGCTTATATGAAATTAAATAGAATTCTTACAACAAAGAAAATATTAACCATAAAGAATACAAGTTATACAGTACAAGCATGAGTGTGTGTGTGAGAGTGTGTGTGTGAGAGCATGTGTGTGTGTGTGTGTGTGTGTGTGTGTGTGTGTGTTTACTACACAGTTTTACAATTTATAAAAAATAAGGTTATGTGGCTGGTCTTCCCCTTTAGATGAATCCTTTAAAGTAAACTTTCAAGTAAAACCTGCAAATGAATCTAGATTATAGTCAACCTCCTCCACCCCATCCCCAGTGACAAATACAGTACAAGACAGCTGCTAAATTTAACATGCCTTTACTGGAACACGGGTGCCTCCTGCACAAAGCAGGCTATGTGCTGCCAATCCACAGGACGTACTCAATTTCTGAATTGCTGCACAGCGGCCCTGCTGATTCTTAATCCTCCTGGATATAGCATTGACACGAGGCCAAGACTTTCAGAGCATTCATTTTTAAAGGGAAAAAATGAACAGGAGAAAAGAAAAAGCTCAAAGCAACATGTTAAGACATCCTGTGAGGCAAACATTTTGAGAAGGGGGAAAAAGTGACTCAATAAATACGTTTAAAAATTGTCAGTCCTTAAGACACACATGGTTTGTGTTCTTAAAGTTCATTTGTGCACCAATTGTTAGGAATGTATTTCTCTATGGAAACAATGGTTAATGTTTTACTTGTCAGTTGTGCTTCAAGTTAGTCATTACAATCCTATTTAAGCATGAATGACCCTAACATATTTAGTATCCAAATGATATTGAATCCATCACTTGTATCAGTATGTCTGTTGACAAGATAATCAGGTATGCATCATGTCTGCTGTCAGTCTGATCCATTCATTGATTCTTGCACCCAGTCATTCATTGAGAACCTAATATGTTACAGGTGAGGATAATGTGACTAACAAGATAGGCCTCATTCCTGCCTTCATGGAACTTATTAAAATCATGTTTCGTAATGCTGAGATGCTAGTAACATGTTTAGAAGATGCTGACTAAAAAGAAGGCAAATGGATTATCCAATATACAGTGTTCATAAATATGATTCAGCCTTGCACCCATTTATGAATATGAAAATGGAGGGGTCAAGTCAATAAGTGAAGTAAAATATCAGAAATGGGTATTAACAACACAACTCTTAGTGGTCAGGATTCCAGCTAGTGTCTATGGGGTTGGGTAAAATTGTCAAGAGATGTATAAGTTAGAGCATCATCAATGGGAAGGGTATTTATCTGTATGGTATACATCTGTCTCTAAATTAGAAACATAAACTTCCATATTTATATATCTATAACTTCTTGTACCTGTCTTAGAGAGTTAAAAGACTGGGCCCTGAAACTCATTTTTTGTCTCTGTACCTTGGATCTGTTGAATTTGTGTGAAGCACAGTCACTAGCTAGAATAATGCTTATTTTTTCTTTAGATACAACTTGTTTTCTTCATCTACTTTTTTTCAGCATCTGGATCTCATCTCACTTAAGATCATAGCAGGGACCATCATCCCTGGAACCCGTTTGATTTTTATCAGAAGTTTCCAACATCCTGAAGCAGACAGAATTTGTTTCAAGGACTCCTCTAAGACCTCCATCTGAGTTCCTGTTGGTGGGCTTTGAACCCAGTAAATAATCAAGCCCTCTGCACTTGACCTACTTCCTCTGCATGCTTTTCAAGGTTACTACCTATGATTGAGATCCCTTCCAACTCCACGTTTCGACTCCCACTATGCAAGTGACCTTTTAACATATTCTAGCAACTCTTCCAAAGCAGAAACATGTTCACCACATACAAAAGCAGTACAATGTGTGTAGACATTTGCTAAACCATGAATTTGTTTACACAAAAGGTTCAAAAGAACTTTGGAATGTAGATGCATGGAAAGCCTGGGCTTCCGCTAATGGGACCTCCTAAGGTGAATCCCAGGAAGTTCTGCCTCCCTATCATTCACCATGAAGGACAGCAGACACTACTTCTACTTTCTTTCTATGTTTTTTGTTGTTGTTGTCGTCTCCTTCTCTGGCTTGTTTCTGCTGCCACAAATCTTGGACCATTCTTCTTATTCTGTAATCCCAGAAATGACCTTTTGTAAAAGAAACATCCCCCCTTTGCACAATAAAATATAAATAAATTGGAAGTTAAAGGTTCTACCTGTTATCTTTTAGTCGTTTCTTTACTTAAATTGTGCAGCCAAAAGTAAAGGTGAAGATGGAAGGTGATAATGGCATCAATATTTACAAAGAACAAATAGACATGTAGTTTCTTCATTTCAGAGGAAATGAAGACTTGAGGGACATGCCAGGGATATGCCTCAGGAAATAAGCATGCCAGATAGAAAGACACTTGTTTTGACTTATTTAATATACTTTCATTCTCCATCAACAAATTAAAGTTAATACACATTAACTTTATTACATATATGTAATAAAAACCAATCTACAGGGTACTGTGGTATTTGAGAGTGATTTCCACATCTATTATTTCATTTTTACCCTTGCAGCACCTCTGAGGAGTGTTTAAGGTGGTTCCTATGAACCTCATTTAATAGATGAGAAAATCAGAAGCATACTTACTTATTCACAATCACATAGCTAACTGATAGAACTAAGACAAAACCCAGACTTTCTGATATCAAGTCAGTGTAATTTTTATAACCTCATGCATAATTTTATGCCATGTGGCAGTTTTATACTATTACTAGAGGCCCAGTGCATGAAATTTGTGCACTGGAGGGGAGTCCTTCAACCCAGCCTACCCCTCTCATAGTCCAGAAACCCTCAGGGGATGTGCTACTGATGGCTTAGGCCCATTCCCCATGGGGAGTAGGCCTATGTCATAGTCTGGTCTCCCTCTGAGGGAGGTGACTGGGCTGATCTGGGGAAGGCACCAACCCCATCACCCCACTGCTGCCACCAAGATAATTTCATCAACACAGACTTCAGTCCCTTCACCATGAAAAAATGACAACTTTCTTTAGGCATTTTCAAGATACCTAAAAGAATATGACATTATTTTTTTAAAATCTTCACAAGATATTTTCCCATTGAGTTTTAGAGAGCATGGAAGAGAGAGGGAAAAACAGAGAGAAACATCAATGTGAGAGGGACACTTTGATTGGTTGTCTTCTGCATGAGCCCTGAGGTGGGCCCTGGCCAGGGAGGAGCCTGTAACCTAGGTACATGCCCTTGATCAGAATCGAATCCGGACCCTGCAGTCCACAGGCTGAGGTTCTATCCACTGAGCCAAACTGGCTAGGATAAGATATGACATTTCTTAGCCCCTCCAGTAGTGGAGCTTTGTTTTTTTTCTCCAGGAGTGAGGTGGAAAAACCCTAGATCACCTTTTTGGATTCTTATTACCCAAGTTACCAAGAACACTGCGAGTGGCATATAGGGAGTTTAGCCAATGAGTGGTCAGAGGTGGGACTGGTGGCCCACCATTGCAGTTTGAGAAAGTCCCCCTATGTTTGTCTACTCTGGACCTGCTCCATCTGTGGCTTGCCTCACCATGCACATAGTTCCTTCCCACCCATCTGTGTGTGCAGCCTTCTCCTTAGCCGGTCATGACTGTTACAGCATCCCGGCTAATTTGCTAATATATATATATATATATATATATATATATATATATATATATATATGATTTAATATAATATATAATAAAAATTATATATTATATAATTCTGTCAATCTATATACATAAAAGCCTAAGAGACCTGAACAACTGAATGACCAGAATGACAAGAACGACCGGTTGTATGATGTACACTGATCACCAGGGGGCAGACGTTCAATGCAGGAGTTGCCCCCTGGTGGTCAGTGTGCTCCCACAGCCAACCTCCACAGGCCAGCTGGCCAACCTCCCATGGTCCCTCCCTCAACACTGGCCAACCTCCTGTGTTTCCTCCTGCTGGGATGGGGTACTAGGGGTGAGTAGTAGCAGATGTGGCCCTTTTTTGGGGAGGTGGGGAGGGGAGGGAGAGACAAGGGCCAGCTACCTCCTTGGGACCTGCAGCCAACCTCCCATGCCCTGTCTCTCCTCCCGGCTGGCAGGCTCCAATCAGCCCACTGCCAGCCCACCACAGTCTTTGGAAGTTGGTGGTAGTGGACATGGCCCCTTTCCCAGGAGAGCTAAAGGCCAGCTCTCTCCTTGGGACCAGCAGCCAACCTTTCATGCCCCATCCTTTCCCTTTGCTGGCAGGCCCCAACTGGCTCACTGACTGACTACCATAGTGGTGGCATGCAGTAAGGGAAGGAGGAGGGGCGGGGGAGGTAAGTTAGGGTGCTGACAATGGTGGCAGCAGTGTCTGGTGTTCATTCCTCCCATGCCCTGTCCAGCAGCTATCACCTCCTCTCTGGCCCGGCCCTGATCGACCTGGCCCCAATCAGCCCTGATCATAGGCCAAGAATTAGTGCACTGGGCCTCTAGTATTATAATAATATAATAAGACATCTCATTAATAGCTCTTCCTTGGTAAAATGATTTCCGTTATCTTTAAGAATTTAACCCTCATTTAAGTAAATTATGATTCATCTAAACCAGCATGGAAATCCTGCTGCTCAGTTTTCCAGACCCCGTTGAAGCTAAAGTGACCATGAAACACATTCCTGGCTAGTGATATTAAGGAATTCTTGGAACAGCTTGCTGGGTTTTCTCCATGTATTATACTTAGAGAAATCCAGCCCAACTTGTTTGTGCAGGATGGAAGTGGTTGGTTGCAGTAAAAATATCACAGGCATTAGGTGAAAGGAGGGTAGAACAGTGCTTGTGGAAGTGCTAACAAGAGCAGTGATGGTAAGGTGAAAAAAACAGTTTTCTACTGAAATCTCATTTGAAGTGTTAATCATGGAAGTTTTTTGTTTTTTTCTGTAGAGCCATTTACTGATGTCTGTCAAATGTAAAACACATATACCCTTTAGAGCAAGCAATTCTACTTCTAGGAATCAATTCTTGGCAGCATGTAAATCATGAAAATTAGAAATGACAAATTTCTGTCAGTAACGGAAGTGTTCATCTATGCCACAGAATGCAGCAGGTTCTCAAACAAAGCCATTTTGTTTTAATGTTGATAGATGCTATAGGAAAGTAACTCTTCTTTTAAAAAATATAATTGTATTGATTTCATAGAGGAAGGGAGAGGGAGAAAGAGATAGAAGCATCAATGATGAGAGAGAATCATTGATCGGCTGCCTCCTGCACATCCCTAATCAGGGATAGAGCCTGCAACCCGGGCATGTGACCGAGAATCAAGCCGATGACCACATGGAACTTAACACTTGTCATAGCAATTTGCCTATGATAATATTGGTTTTGTTACCCATCATTTCACTTAAAGTTGCAGAACCTATTGACAATGCTAACTGATGACTTAGCCTAAGTCTTAGGGTACCAGAAAGTCAATAAAAACACTAGAGGAGGTAAATGCATTGATGGACAGTGGTTCAAAAGCATACACTGTATTTCAGTTATATTTTTAATTTTCCAAAAATATGTCCCGTGTAAATGGATAGAAGAGAAACTGGAAGGAGGCAAACCTCCAAGAAGGGAAGGTGGTATTGGAAGTACTTGAACTATATCCTCTTTACTGTTGGAGTCTTTTACAATGGTAATACGTTTACATATTATGTCTGTTATTAAGAAAAGAAAAGTGAAAAAACAGTGAATGGTGTTGGAAAAAGTGAATACAGCCTTATACATATTACTTTGGGGGGGGAAGTATCAAATAAAGTTATCAAAGAAAATGGTTTGTGACAGGGAATTCTGGTTCTAAATTTCTTTTAAAGATGGAAGTTAACCATGTTTTATATTAGTTGGTAATGATTTACTAACTAGAAACATATTTTTTCAGTTTTAAGATACAGGTTTTATCACATTTTAATGATTTTACTGGAAGTATGAGCAATTTGAATTCACATTAATGAGTCATCATAAGACAGTATTCATTGAAGTCCTCTTTAGGTTAAAATTTCCACTCGAGATGTTAAAATCTCACTGGCAGCATGATTCAGACTGGTAACCTGCTTGAGGACTGGCTTGTGTTCAATTCCTGGGCTCATGTTTTTGTTTTCACTCTTTTTCATTCTGTGTCAAGGTTGAGATTGACTCATTCCATTGATATACCTTTCTGTCTGATTTGCACTGAAGTTTAAGGTCTGTGATATCTCAGCATTTGAAGTTTTCTGATTAGCTTTCTTGTCCAATATATGATATTTCTTAGAATATATTATTTTTAATGCACATAAATTTTATTACAAAAAAGAATAATAAGTGTTGGTGAGGGTGTGAAGAAATTAAAACCCCTGTGCATTGCTAGTGGATATGTAAAATGGTGCAGCAGCTATGGAAAGTAATACAGTGGTTCCTCAAAGAATTGAACAAAATTACTTTAGTGTTTAGCAATTTCATTTCTGGGTATGCTCCCCAAATAATTGAAAGCAGAGATTTGAATAGATATTTGTACACCCATATTCATAGCAGCATTATTCACAAAAATCAAATGGTAGAATCAACTTAAATCCATCAATAGATAAATGAATAAACAAATGTGGTACATATGTGCAATAAACTATTATTTAATCTTAAAAATGAAGGAAATTTTGACCCCAGCTGCGATGTGGATGAACCTAGAAAACATTATATTAAGAGAAATAAGCTAACTAAAAAATAATAAATATTGTATGATTTAATTTATATCAAGTCCTTAAAATAGTTAAATTCATAGAGACAGAAAGCAGAATGGTGGTTGCCAGAGCTAGAGGAAGGGGAGAATGAGGAACTATTGTTTTATTTGGAAACATAAAAAGAGTTCTAAGATGATGATGGTGATTGCATAACAATGCGAATGAACTAAACTGTACACTTAAAAATGGTTAAATGGTAAATTTTAGGTTATGTATATTTCCTCACAATTAAATAAAATGAAATAAAATAATGTTTCAACCTATAATTTATGACATTTTAGGTTTGATGAAATGTTGATTATTCCAGGGAGAGAAGGGATTAAAATCTTTGAGAAGCTGAGAGGGGCTGGGATTCATCTCAGAAGTCCACTGCCCAAACTCCACCTTTCATATATATGTGTGTGTGTGTGTGTGTGTGTGTGTGTGTGTGTATGTATATTTATATATACACACACATATATACAT